CTGCCTTCAAGGAAGAAAGCGTCTCCCAAGTTGGTAGGTTTAAAGTCATTAATGATTGCCTGGAGTCAGTAAGGTCAGCTCTGACAAAGGCTTATTTCCGAAGCTGTAAATTTCTTGAATCATACAGAAATCGCAAAAGAAATTGAAATATGTAAGGTAGAAGTATTGGAACATCGAATTATGTGTCTTAATCCTCTCATTTGGTTCGAAAAGCCATTTTGTTGGAGAAGTTTAGGGAAGGTTAGGTCAATAATGAAAGCCAACCTTGTGATACCCTCCTTCAGATAATAGAGAAGACATTCGGACATGAGTGGATCTTCATTCAGATTGACTAGATGTGGAAGCTAAAATGTCAGTGAATCATTTTTGGGACCTAGGTCCAGAAAATAAGCTTGTGCACCTTCTTCGGGCTAAACACTCCCAAAGTGCTGCCATCTTGTGCAGTAGCCAATCCCATTTCTCGCAGTTCTTCTTCTCGTTGCTTGCGAATTTCATCTGTCTTTCGTAATTTCTCTTCCCATGTCTCGTGCAACTCAGCAATGAGTTTTTCGGATGCCTGGAATTGGGAAATTTACATTCTGGTATAGGAAGAAATAATTCAAATAGCTGGCGAATAACGTCCTTTGCGATCTCGGGGGCAAATATCCAAAAAAGAGATACGTGGACTATTATGTGATTAACGGGGTGGATAAAAAAGAATTGCCCAGGAGGTAGCTTATAGAATTTGTTCGTGTCAGATATGCCAACTTTGAAATCCGCCCTGTACCGTACCCGCTGATTATTCGCTCGTAGGGTACGGTACTGGGCGAGAGCGTAAACTCGAATTTCGTTACGGATGAATCACAACAGCTGCTGTTCGGGTAGTAGCTTACTTACGTAGCTATTTCCTTATCTATTTTCAAAGTAAGAAACTAAAATATCAGATTGCCCGGATACCTCCTTTAGTGGCTAAATTGTAAGAAATGGATAAAAAAGAACTGAAAGTTAAGTTACCTTGAGCTGCTCGATAGTGTCATGGTCGCGAGCGGAATATAGTTGCCGAGGACGTCCAGTCTGCGATGACTTGAGAGCATCGGCGGCAATGTCGATACCTTTCTCTTCGAGGATTCCACGAAGTTTGTTGACCTAGAAGCAACGAAGATGAACATGTATTTGTAGATAAATGTTGAGCTTCATAATCACCTCCTCCTTGAGCTCGCGGATGAGTTTCGCATTCGGATCTTCGTTGACAACAGCTTGGCAAACGATCTGTTTAGCTCGATCGG